AGCAAGTTTTGACTCAAGTTCTTGAGGAAGCAGGTTACATTAAGGAGTCCCTGCTAGGTCTGTCAGACTTTGTAAAGGTACCATTGACTTTATATGTGATATTTTTGGTGTTTCAGCCTTTGAATAGTGTCGTACTTTCTTTTTGTTTTAACTTAACAAGGCTAATAATGTGATGTCAAGGCAAAAGGAGAGACAAAAGAAGGGTTTGAAGGATAGAGTTGTTTCAAAACCTGTTATATATATAGTAGATAGTTCACTTTAAGAATTTATTGCTTGAAATTTTACCATTTAATATTAGAACAAAGTCTTAAAACTGTTCATAGATTAAATGATTATGGACATATCTCTGTTGAAGCTCCAAAATAAATACACTTAGCTCGTAGACCACTGTATCCCCATTTTGAATTAGGAAAATATCAGCTTCTTGTTAACTTTTGAGAGTATACAATTTAATGGAGGATACAGATGTTAAGAGCAGAGGAAGACCAAAGGAACTAAATGGAAACTATAAAAGAGCATCTCAGTTTTTCTAGCTGGTTGAGAATCTAGTGTTGAATTGAACTCAGTTGTGCATGTAGCTTATTCAATGGTGATGGGGAACAGGGTAGTTGTATCATAAACGAGTATAGTGTTGAATTCGAGTTCAATTGCAGAATATGATGCATGTGGCTTATTCAATAGCGGTAAGGAGTAGCTTAGTTATTGTTGGTAATGCATTGAGAATACACCAGATTATTGCTAGACTTTGCTTCCTTTTATTCAGGATAGGGGTGTTCATTAGAGTTGTCAGGCCAATCTCTATTTGAGCTAGCATTACAGGTCATCTTGCAATGTATTTCTTACCTTTGCCTTTATAACTATGATCTAATTCCTTTACCAGTTGAAAGTTAGTTTCTGGTTGACAGACCGTGGAAAGCAGTTGAAATAGAAAGGCAGCATCCACTATTCTAGATTCTCGAGCAAGCAAATGTATACGAATATAAAGATAAGAGGTGAAGAAGTATCATGCATTAGTTACAGAACCTGTCATGCTCTTAGATTTAATGCACAAGAGGAGGAGGGCTGAAAAGGAGAAAAACATCATGCTCTTAGATTTAAAGCACCATAATAAGGAGCAATGAGACAATTAGTTAACTTGAACAAAAATTGGAGTACGTTTGGTGAATAGAAGTTCATTTGAATTTTAGTCTGATCCGAATGGCACATGAACAAAAATTAGAGTACCTTGTAAGAGAACTAGTTAATTTGGGGAGAGGACAACATGATATGAGTACATGACCCATAATAGAGAAACTTCAGTCACATCTTAAGTAGGTGTGCTCATGTTAAAAGAGTGTGTACTTTATAGCATGCCTGTGCCTACTCGTTTGCATTGTCTATGACTACTTTCTTTTATTCATTTGAGTTATTCCCTGAGAGGTCAAAGTCTTGATCAGCTCGATTTTCCTAACTTCCATAGATCCAATTTTTGTGGCTCTTCTAGCAAATTTCCTTTACATCTAGCTCTTAGCATTACATTCTCACCATTTTTGGAAAGACATTAGATGCATAATCTGAGCTTCTACATAAATGATCAGTGCTTTTAGGATTCTTCTGGTTGCGGTTCACTTCGCTTTCTTTCAAGTCTTCTCAGAGTCTCCGGTTTGAAGATGGAAGTTGAGGTTCCGGTGGACTAAACTGCAGGTAACCACTCTACACTACCGTGATTTCCTAGCATTGCCAACATGGAGGTCTCATCTCGAAAAATGGATGGCAGAAATGCTTATGCTGTAATTTGCCTAGTTAACTGACTGGAATCTCTAAGCATATCCTTTTTAGATGCCATCTAACCTGAAACAGTTAAAAACACTTTAAATTATTTCACTAGGCTTTGTTTTAATGGGTGAAGTAGAAGGAAGTAAGCATATATTTCTCCTTTGGTTGAAAAACCTTATCAGAAAGCTTTCCATCCAAGAATGCCAGTGTATTTGAATGTATCGTTTTTAGCTTAATATTAGTTATAAAGCTGGGTAAAATCCTCTGGTATATGCGTGTTGAATTATATCGATTAACGATGACGAGAAAAAGGGTAAACTACACGTGTCGAAAATATTAATGTGATATTATCATATATTTAAAGTATTAATATAATATTATTACGTATCTAAAATTTTGATATAACGCGTCATAAAAATTAATATAATATTATCACGTGTTCAAATTTTGACATAAAATTATCACATGTATATAGATGTAAACGCGACATTATATTTTCAAAATGCTTTATATATTTCGTGCCTCAAACTTGTACAAAACATATATTTTATATCTTAAATATTGATGTGGTATATGTCTAATGTTTTAGTGTAAAATATCCCATCATAAAAAAATATTAGCTTTCTCAAAATATCATTTTCCATAAACTTATTACCAGAAGCCCATCTTCTGCAACTGTTTTCTGGGTATTTTGGAAGAATTATGAATTTGATTTTTGTAATATCAAATGGACACGTGGAGAGCACCATTGATTTTGAATATTAGGATTGCAAGATGATACACGTCAAAGTGCTGACAACTCTTTCTTCTCACCTTTACAGAAAAGACTCGAAGATGGTGAAATGAACCAGCCAGCACGAGTTTGCTGCTACTCTTGAACGATTCATTTCTGTAGTTGCCGATTTGCTCATAGAAAAGCAGTGCGAAAGTGACGTGAAAAAACCCTTAAGCTGCACTCACCTGTGTGGTTGGAGAATCAAAATATTATTATGCATTATCATCGTCATAACATTGCCTTCGTCAAACTAAATGGTAACTTGCAAAAGGTTAGAGCATCAGCCTAACTTCTAATCTTAGAAAAAGATCAACATCTGGAAAGGTATATCAACTCTCTAGAGATTACTTTAATTTAGATTTGTTCATAGGTCGGATCAGATTAAATTCATATACAAAATTAATATATTTCATCACTAAAATCTGTGTTATGATTTTCAAAATGATTAACGGGCAAACAAAATGATTGAAAAAAAAATAAATAACATCTAGATTTACGTGAAAATTTCAAAACAGGAAAAACCACGAGTAGAGGAGAAGAAACTTTTATTATGCGTCCATAGGTCGGATCAAATTTGATTTATATACAAAATTAATATGTCTATCAACCCTGTCGTGTAGGTCTATCGTAGGCCTTACGCTTTTATTACTGTTTTGATTGTAACTTCGTGGGCCGGTATAGGAAGAAATTTGGTCATAACTCTAACATAATGATATATATTGATTTGATGATAAGAAAAATGAATTGTGACGGCTTTTCGATGGTCCAAAGAAAAAAACCGCGGTCGATGGTTCTGTAGATGTAACAGAGAAGATGAACATACTAAAGAATATGATGAACTCTTAAGAGTAAGAGTGTCCAAAACGAGAGAGAAAATAATAATTTCTCTTTAATTTTATATGAGGTTTATATACGAGTCTTTATTGTTGATATTAGACCCAAGATGATAATAATTATTTGTAGATCGATTAGATAAAACCTAGCTGCATAGTAGAGTTAATGGTTATGTGATTGACAACAATCATGCAAAGGACTGTAATTGTCCGGAACATATGGAAATGAGGGTCAGCTAATTTTTTTTTTTTTTTTTGCAGTGCAAAGTGTGTTTTACATGTTTGATATTTCACACAACTCTTCAGCACCATTATATGTATTAATAGTCTTTTTTTAGCTTAATATTCCTTGTGGAGGTCCTTGTCTTGGGGCATTTCATCATTCTTCCCCTTTATTTATTTATTTATTTATTTATTTTGCTTTTCTTTTTGTATCCTCTTAAGCTTTACACCAAAGTGCGATCAGCACTATGTGTATGTGTTTCTGTAAAGTATTTCTACCTGCTTTGGCTCATTGTAATATCTGTCTGCTACCATTCAATGATTCATCGTTTTTCCAGAAATTGTCACTAACCATGCTTATTTAATATGTTATCTGCAGATCGGTATTGATGTTTAATTAGTTACACATTGAGGTCAGTTCATGCATAAACAAACAGCGTCAGATGAGTGAAAGTGTTTTGACAAGGCAAAGTAAAACCAAAACTATATAATGTTGACTATTCATCTCTTCTGATTTGGACGGAAAGTCACATACGGTTGTTTAACGAAGAAGAAAGGGAGAATAGATGAACTGAAAAATATTATGAACGAGAGAGATATGAGAGATTCCTCCATCCAGCCTTGCATGGTGATTTATATAGTGACATTTAATTTTATTATCAGACTTATGGTGTTAATGATTATTTATAGATTTCCATGCTAATTAGATATGGTTGTCAGGTAACAGATTAGTTCATAGATCACATGGATCTACCAATGATTATGTCAAAAGATCATAACTGATTAAAGGATATGAAATTATGAAAGATATAATAACTTCGAGTTCAACAAGCGGAGATGCAACTTCTTTGTTAATATAAAATTCATATTGCCACAGCTAAACCTGTTTCTGTATGTAAACTTCTTTCATTTTCAAAGCCTTGTGATTTCACAAGTTGACTATTGGATATCGATTTGCACGTCAACCATTAATTATAAAAAGAAATTCTCTGGTTCCTATCTGTTTTCTTTTGCCCCAGACAATTTGACCTACTGCAATAAACTCTGATTTGTGATTCTGAATATATATATATATATATATATATATGAGTTGTGATGATCATGTACTCAAGTGGGAATAAAATATAGGGTTAAAGACATCCACTAACACCAAGTCGTTTTAGGCAATATTGCTATATTAATGGTAGGCCGAAAGAGAAACCGACTGCAATTGCTATCATGGATATCATTTATTAAGGAAAAACGTCATCTTTGGTTGGTTGATCACTTAAAAAACGTTTCGCGAAGGGTTAAAGTTTATTTCGATATGATTTAGTGTTTGAATCCTAACATTTCCGACTTTTTTTTAATCTTGGAATAACTTTACCAACAAAGATAATGTTTAAGTGGGTAAAAAAATGAATACAATGATGTACTTTCTTGAAAATTTGATGTGGAGTGATATTTTTCTGTCATTATTGTGTGATCAGATGGGAAACATCCTTGGAAGAGGGTTCTCCGGTGAACATTGAGGCCGGATTGGCGAGATACTGCTTTAGCCGCCCCATTTCGAGGGCCACGTCCAGCATGGTCGGTCTTGTTGATGGGTTGTGTTGAGTGCACATGAGGCCAAGTTCAACCAGTTCCAGTATGACATCACGCCATAGTTTATCATAACTTGTTAGCATTGCACCAGGGCTGCACCTAGCCAGTGCTTGCGTTACTATCGGTTCGAGCTTATGAGGATAGTGACTTTTCACCCATTCGTGCAAGCTCGAACCTGCTTCGTCATCGGTGGGACGCCTTCCCGATACGATTTCCAACAAAAGGACCCCGAAACTGTATACATCCCCTTGAGTTGAAGCTCGTTTCCCCATTCCGTATTCTGCATTTAACCAAGTGAAAGATCAATAACAGAGTGTACAAACTAAAAAGTAATAACACACGTGATACATATAGATCGAGTTATGTTTCGATCAAAAATAAAATCGACAAAGAAGAAGGAAATGCATATACCAGGAGCTATGTAGCCAACTGATCCACATAACAAGCCATCTGCAGAGCTGTAGGAGATTGAATCATTTGCAGAAGTTGTCTCATCGACACCTCGAACCAGCCTTGCAATTCCGAAATCTGTTACCAAAGCAGTCATGTCTTCGTCGAGAAGAATATTACTCGGTTTGAGATCACAGTGAACGACTTTAACCGGTGCGTAATGGTGCAGATAAGCAACCCCTTCAGCTACATCGCTGCAGATGTTTACCAATTGGATCAAATGTAATCCATGTTGTATTCCGTGGCTCGGGTATAGGTGTCTCTCGAGACTCCCGTTCGGCATCAGAGGAAGGACCAGAGCCTTGAAATCTGGCTTGCTGCAAATTGTTATGATCCTGATCAAATTTCTATGCCTGGTTCGCTTGAGGACTTCACATTCTCTTTTGAAACTCCCTGAAATATCCCCTGCTGTCTTTGTGTCTAAAACTTTGACAGCTATTTTCATATTGTCCCCAAGAATTCCTTTATAAACATGACCAAAACTGCCCGAACCAATTAAGCTTGATGCACAGAACCCACCAGTTGCTTCAATGAGTTGTTCATATGAGATTCTGGGGTACTTGAGCTCTTTCCTTTCGTTTTCTTCGTCTTCGAAATCCTCTCCATCGACAACAGCCAGCCGGTTTCCGAACTTTGATTTGCTAGTCACTAGAGGGTATCCAAACATTAGCAATATAGGAGTCACTAGCAATGAGGCGATGATAGGCAAGAATATAACCAAACGAGAAGGATGTTTCTTTCGGCATTTCGGCAGGCCTTTAATCGAACCACAAAGACCATCATTCCCTATGAAAGAATCTATAGTCAGAGATGAAAATGCCCCCTTGTCTGATATATTTCCATGGAACTTGTTGAAAGAGAAGTTCATTGCCACGAGCGTAGTTGATGCCTGAAATGTCTCTGGTATGTCTCCGCTCAACCGGTTCAAACCAACATCGAGTTCTTTAAGGTAAGGCAACTGTCCTATGGAACCTGGAAGTTCACCTTCCAAGGCATTACTCGAAAGGTTGAGGTGCTCGAGGGCAATGCAGTCCCCGAGTTGCGATGGAATCGTGCCCAAGAGATTATTCGACGATAGATCAATGGCTAACACCATGTCCATTTTACTCAGCTCTAGTGGTAAGGGTCCATGAAGGTGATTGCTAGACAAATTCAAGTACAACTTCAAGCTCCTCAATCCAGCAACCCCACCAGGAATTATCCCGGAAAGCTTATTGTGAGAGAGGTCTAAAATCTCCAGGTTGACACATTTGCCCAAACTCGAAGGAATTGTCCCTGAAAGCTGGTTTCCATAGAGTAGTAATCTTCTTAGCTGAGGGAGATTGGCGAAACTATCTGGAATCGAACCCGAAATCTTGTTCATCGACAAGTCCAACAGCCCCAAATGCGTTATGTTTCCTAGAGCAACCGGAATCTCACCGGAGAGCGAATTATTCGACAGATAAACTCTCTCCAGTTTCTCAATTCTGCATAGCTCATGTGGGATGGAACCATTCAAAAGGTTACTAGACAAGTTCAAGAGGGTGAGGTTCACAAGGTTCGAAATCCGAGGAGGAATCGGACCGTATATCAGATTATCATCGAGATGAATCTGTACAAGATTGGTAGAAAGATCACCGATAATAGGAGGTATCTGTCCACCAAGGTTATTTCCTGCTAATTCTAGTTCTTGAAAGTTAGAAGAATTGAGCAAAGAAGCAAAAAAAGGCTCGAGGTTAGTGTTACCATCATGGCTAACGAAGTCATTATAGGACAAATAGAGGAACTGCAGCTGTGGCATTTTACGTATAATATCAGATGGCAACTCCCCACTTAGCTTGTTGGACTCCATATCAAGCCATTGAAGCTTCGACGAGTTCGAAAGGGCTTGAGAGACTCGACCAACTAGTCGATTCGACCAGAGCAACAGAAACCTCAACTCCACAAGTGAACATTTACTCGTAAGAGGAATTTCACCACTAAGAGAATTGTTGGAAAGATCTATGTATTGTAATGAATACGATCCATTGCAGAAAAGTGAAGCTGGGATGTTCCCATCAAGCCGATTGCTCCCGAGATCAAGGTATACTAATTGATGAAGAAATCCCAATTCAGAAGGGATGTTTCCTTGAAGAAGATTCCATGATAGGCTAAGTTGTTTGAGCCGAAAGAGAGAACCGAGCTCCAGTGGGATAAGGCCATGGAAGAAGTTCTTTGACAAATCAAGGACCAACAGAGAAGAAAGATTGGCTAGACTAGGAGAAATGGTGCCTTTGAGTGACCTGTCACTAAGGTCAAGCTGCACCACTTGGTCTCTTTCATGGTTGCAACTGACACCCGACCAGTTGCAAACATGTACATTGGTGGAGTTCCAATGTTCCAGGGAGTTTCCAGGGTCTGAAACAACAGCCGACATGAAGGAAAGCAAGGCAACTCGATCGTTTTCGAGTAGAGCATTCTCGTCGGCTGTAGATACGAAGAGAATGGTGATCAAGAAAAGGAAACTAAACTTGGAAAATTTGCAAAACCCCATTGTTTTTTGCGGAACAAAATAAGTAAAAAAAAAAGTGGTTTTGATTCGTTTTGCAGTTTGCACCAGTAGAAGAGCCTGTAGCGTTTGAGATGACTATATATACAAAGGAAGAGGAAATATGTGATGATGGCCGGCGAGGCTGCCTAACCAGCGTTGAAGGAAGGAACGTACGTTTGGCGCCTATGATCTTTGACTAATGCAATGGAATTGAGAGATGGACCAATCCAGGGTCAACAAGTGTGTACATCTACCATTAAGTAGATCGATTTAACACGAGATTATTTTTTTCCTTGAATAATTTAGGATGATTATTTAACTGAAGTCTCGAATTCTATATCACGAGAACATAAATGTATTAAATATCGAATAGGATAGTTTTAGATGGACCAATCCAATGTGAACATGTGTCGTGTAACAAAATGACAGGGTAACGAGGCGTGTGCAATGGTGGTGTACATGTCAGCACCTAGTAGCCAGGCCTAACACTTTAGGCTAATGTTGTTTGCTTGTGAAACTGGGGCAATTAGTGGATGATGCGTGGGCTTAACGAGATCTTTACAAGATAATCTTAGGTTCAAAATATAGATTACACAGGGACATGCGTTTTCATTTAATATATATTTTTGGGTGTGGACAGGCAGGGAGATACAGATTATGGCCAGATACAGAGATCAACTGATGTGTTCTATTGGGTAAATTTGCACTGAAATTTTCAAGGATTATAGAATAATAGGGTAGCTACCATACACCCTGAACTTGTCGAATTACTATATTTTTATTACATTATAATCATATTTAAGAATTTAATAATGATAATGTAATGCATACTTGCAGGGTTGGGGAACTTGTTACTGTTGCATATGTATAGCTTTGCTACGTGTTGCATGAAAGTAAATAGTTTGGGGCAAGTGAATCCAAACATTTGTCTGTTACCTGTAAAAGTTTTTTTTTTTTTTTACTTATAGGTCAACATGATGGTCATAATTCTGTTCCAGATGAGTTGTTGTTGTCATATGGGGTAGTAGTTTAGTTCCTTTAGTATTGTTATTACATCTTGAAAGTTCGTTTAGAATTGTGATTTCGACACGTTTAAATACATAATAATTTTTTATGTGATATTTAACAAAGTTGCAAGTAATATAAAAAAGGGCTAAAGTACACAGATGATCCCTCGACTATAGGATAATATTTTGTCAAGTCCCAAAACATTAAAAGTTACAAAATGATCATTCGACTATAGTGAGTTTCTTTGTTGAGTCTCTCCACTATTAAAAGTTACAAAATGATCCTTCGACTATAGTGAGTTTCTTAGTTGAGTCTCTCGATTATTAAAAGTTACAAAATGGTCACTCGACTATTCATTATGCTCCAAACTTGTCTTTTTTCGTTAAAAAATTATCGGTCGTCTGATTTGAATGTTAACATGCTGACTGAGATATGATAGTCGTTTGAAATTATGAGATCGTATTTTATCATATCTCAGCCGATAGGTTAACGTCCAACTCAGATTGTCGTTAACTTTTTAATGGAAAAGAACAAGTTTAAAACATAACAAATAGTTGGATGACCATTTTAGCTTTTAATAGCTGAGTAACTCAACAAAATAACTCCTTATAGTCGGGGATCATTTTGTAGCTTATATAGTCGGAGACTCAACCAGACATTGTCCTATAGTTAAGAGACAATTTGTGTACTTTACCCCCTAAGAAGATAAAAACTGAAGAATTTGTATATTTTAAAATACCAAATGACATTTTCTTAAATAAAGTTGTCGGAGTTTTGAAGGATACAAATGGGGGAGCTGCCTCCATTATTCATCCCACCATTGATCCACTTGCTATATATACTAAGCATGAATTTAGACCTTTTCTGTCATGCCGATTTCTTTTCCTATATAAAAGAGAAAAACACGTGTGTTTTGATCCACTTGCTATATATACTAAGCATGAATTTAGACGTTTCAGCCATCCCACCTTTGCCTCCATTGTTAAAGCTTTGTTCCATTGACCCCGACAATTATATAAGAACTCGAGAACGAACCAGGAAGAAACTCGTATGAGATGGGGTTTGACTCAAACTGAGTAGGTGAATATATAAAAGAAATAGGAAAAAAGCAGCAGCTTTAGATGATAAAGAAGATATCTGCAAGGTTCAACCATTCCATCTTTTGAAAATCTCAACTCGGATTGAAGACTCATGACTCGGTCTTAATTCGCATATGAATAGATAATCATCATCATCGTGACTGCATAATTAAGGCTAAATTGTCTCTATATCTTACGCCATAGTTGCCTTCAAAGAACTGCAAGTAGCCCTTGTCCACCATCGTGCCTACGATGAAGTTTAACTTATTACACACGTTCAACCCGTTTTAAAAGATACGCCGGTAGGGTTTAGTTCATGGATTATTACTTTATATTTTTAAATAGAATTTTCGGACCCACTTTATTATAAATTAGAAATGTTATATTAAGACATCTGATTTATTTGACAGAAATTTAAGGTTACAGTGTGTTGTTTGGATGACAAGTATAAGATTATCCATACGTAATTTTATTTTTGATTAAGTAGAGAGATATTATAATTGTAAGACAAATATTGGGATTAAAATCCACAGAAGCTAGGATAATATAAGATTATCTGAAAGTAAATTTTATCAAATTGTCTCTGTGATATATTGAATTAAAAAAATTAAAATTATGAAGAAAAAAACTCTTCAATCAGATGCTAACACATGTTTCTAGTGAAACATGTTGCCATTTGATCAGAAGATTAAATTTATTGAATTAAATTAAAATTATGATCAAATTGATAAAATGTATAAGTAATGAAAATAAAATGTGTAATTATACCAATTTATTAACTGTCACTTCATCAAATACTAACGACATGTGACTTGACTGACATCATTTAAATAGTTAAGTGATCTAATTGATAAAATTTAAAGATTAGTGATAGGATTGGAATCTCCCCATAATTAAGTGGTTATTGATGTAATTTACCCTAGATTGAAAAACGAAATCTCCTACCGTGGGAGGATCCATCTTCACCTAAACTTTGATAAAGAAAATTATTGCATTTGACCCCAAGAAGAAGAAAAAGGAAAAAACTCGAAAACGCACGATGAAAAAATTCATGTGAAATGCGGCTTTGCTTTTGAGTATTGACTAAAAAAAACAACTAAAAGAAATAATATATATACCTCTGAAGCAGATTTAGATGACAAGGAGCATATCTGAATTTGGCAAAGTTCCAACCATAGCATCCTTTTTCCTTAAAATACAAAAACAGCCCAACTAGGATTCATGACTTCATATTAGTTCACATATGAATGTATCATCGACATCATCATGACTGCATAATTAAGACGAATTTGCCTCTATATCTTATGACAAAATGGTTTCAAGAGAGGCCTAATGATAAAAAAATACTCCTAACTTTTTTACTCCTATTCATTTTTCAAAGTAATTTAGCCACCAATATTTTAGTCTGGAACAAAATGACATCTGATTGGATGAAAATTATTAATCGACTAACGATCAACGCGCGACAAGTCTTATATGTCCAAAGTTATGATGTGACATACAACATGTACATAAGTGATAATTTGACACATATCACATGTATATAAGTAATGGCGTGACACATATCACATGTACATAAGTTATAGTGTGGTATATGCCCAATGTATTTAAGTGATAATGTGGCATAGATGTGACATATGCTAACCGTTAGTCAACTAATGATTTCTATCTAACCAGAGAACCTTTTGTCCCAAAATAAAACATTAGGATTAAAAGAGAAAATAATCTCAGTGACCAAAAATGTCTTATAATATACGATTTTGACCAACTTTTTTTGGATTTGCCAAAATGACCAACAAAATCGCAATGCGAAATACAAATCGCAACGCGATCTCTAGAATCGCAAATCAGTTACCAGAATCGCAACGCGATTATTAAGCATCGCAATGCGATAGTACAAATTCGCATTGCGATTTTCCATAATCGCAACGCGAATATGAAAATCGCAACGCGAACATATAAATCGCAACGCGATTCTGACTATCGCAACGAGTATCCGTAAATCGCAACGACAATACGTAAAATCGTAACGTGTATCTGTAAATCGCAACGAGAATACGTAAATCGCAACGCGTATCTGTAAATCGCAACGAGAATACGTAAATCGCAATGCGTATCCGTAAATCGCAACGACAATACGTAAAATCGCAACGCGTATCCGTAAATCGCAACGCGATTTTTAAAGCGCCATTACAATCGCGACGCGTATTTTATTTTCAAATTCCAAACACGAATATTAATTATCGGAACACTGAACCGTCCACAGTATATCCCGTAATCGCAACTCATAACCTAAAACCTAAAATCACAACTCAGTCCCATCTCAATCTCTCACTCTCTACGGCGAAATCCATCCTCATCTCCGAAGATTTCCGTCCCCATCTCTGGCGAAATCCCTCACAACCATTCACGGTCAGAAATCCCTCACAATCATTCAAAAATGGAAAATCAACCTCCTAGGGTTAGTTTTTTTAATTATTTTTATTTTGAAATTTTTGCATTATTTTAGGTTTTTCATATTGAAATTGATGATAAGTTTACTGGTAATTTCAATAATAGATTAACAATTTCACTTAGATTTCTTATTAAATTCATTCGATTGCTGCCAATACTGCTAAACTGTTTAGTCTTTAACCCTGTGAAGTTAGTATTTGTCTTTGTTTTGTCTTTTGGTTGAAGTAATGCAATCCATTAAAGTTTCAATTTGCAGAAGAATAATAGTTTCTAAACTTAAAATCGCAACATGAAAATGAAAATCGCAACACGAAAATGACTATCGCAACGAGAGAATCGCAACGCGAAACCAAAATCGCATTGCGATTTTAATTTCGCGTTGCGATTCTTTCGTTGCGATTTTAATTTCGCGTTGCGATTTTCATTTCGCGTTGCGATTCTCTCGTTGCAATAGTCATTTCTGCGTTGCGATAGTCATTCTCTCGTTGCGATTTTCATTTCAACCAAAAGACAAAACAGTGTTGCAAATTTTAGTTTCAAGAATAAACTACTACTCTTTATGTTTATTGTTTTTGGTATATCTTCACAGTGTAGTTTTTGGTATATCTAACTTAGTATGTTTATTGTTTTTGTAGAAATTTTTTTCGGCTTCATTGACATTAAGGAATAAAGTTA